GATCACAGCTTCAGGATCTACATAACTGGAAAGAAGCAAGGAAATTACTATCAGCAAACTACAAAAGAAGCATCCTAAGCTCTAAGATAGACCACATAAGCAGCACAGATTTTCAAACATGGAGCTATGACAGTTAACAAAACAGAGAGCATCAAGTAATTCAAAACTTTACACATGCTTACTGGTTTTCTTACAAGGCTAATCTCAATATCAAGGGGGTCTGAGGTGGTGTCCCTTTAGCACCATTTAATCAAATGAAGTCCCAAAAAAAGTTTAAACTACTTTCTTCATTTAACAAATGCTTGATTCTTCTTCATATGGACGACATAGAGATCTTAGCCAAAACTAGAACAGTTAAGATACTGTAAGTCAATTATTAAAGAACGTGATTACGACATTGAAATTGCCTCTTCCCTCATTGCTGATGGAACTTTTACGAAAGTAAAAAAGATGAATAACAAAGAGGTTACACACCGCATACAGAGGGCCTTAGTAAATAAGTTCTCACGTGAGGAAAATACATTTCTTGCCTCTGTACGATTCCAGATGCATATACGGGTGCCAACTAAACCAACAACCTGTACAAAAACATTTCCAATATCATATACAGAAAGTGTATGTTAGACCTGATTAATGAGGCCAAAAAAGATACTTCATCCTGTCATTGGTTATAATGAGCAAATGCAGCAATGAGTTTTTTTTTGGTTTGAAACTGGTAACTTTAGTCTATATATCCACAGGTATACTACAACAAAAGTGTAGCTCCCGTTCAAAAGTGTTACAACTTACAGAGAAAGACTGTCTTAATCTAAACTGCTGCCTATAATGTCCTAGTTAAATGTAGCAATGAGTTTAATGCCCACTTGTTTATGTACTTTATTGTGCAAAAGAGGAAACTTCAACCAGGACAAACCTGTACCACCCCTGAAGATAAATGAGCTCTTTCACATAAAACTTTATGGCTTTGGGGCCAATAAAGGTAAAACTTCATGAAAATGTGCAGTGTGTCCAGTTGTTGCACAATAATTTTGATTGAGAAAACTGCTAGAGGATACCAAACCAAATGCATACAATTTTAGTTTGAAAACAATAGTTCCTCCCTTCCTCGGCATTGCAGTGGTAAAATGATTGTTTCCAGTGATAGTGTTAATTGACCTCACAGTATTAGCTCGCACTTCTTAGTCTTACATCTCATGTTGTTGTCTAATGAGGACATACTGTTCAACTCCTTCACACTCTTCATCCTCTTATTGTGAGTATCTTTAAGAGCGAAAAGCTTAGAGAAAAAAAAAAGCGACGAGATCCATAGGGTTTGAAACGAAAAGCATGCAGTGAAGCTAACAGTTCTTTAAAGTGAAGAAGTGCACAACTTTACAATAAATTAAATAAGGTATATAAAATTAGTAATACGTGATCAAAGTTTAATTAATATAACTAATCTTACCATAAAAGATACAATAAAATGTAAACTATATTGAACTCACCTTGCCCTCGTCAAAATCAAAATCAATTAAGGGGGCTTTATCGACAAGGAAATATTCATCCAAACATTTGCAGCTTTCTGCCGACCAGAGACGCATGACCTGGATCAAAGAAGTGTAAAATGTAACTTTAAAACCGTGTCCTTTTTGCTGTAAGCAAGGCATGCAGAGACTTGTGGCCAATGGCAAAAGACTAGTCATGCTCATGAATATCAATATTTTCCGGGAGAAAATATACAAGTAATGAATAACAAGATACACGATAGCAATTGATGTGGTAGTACTTCAGAGAAACAATGACCCTTGTCAAAGATATCCAATTCACAATAAACTCGAGAAAGAGAAATACCTACAACATATTTCAGAGAATTAAAAAGGAAAGATGATCAAGGATGTATAACTGTTACACTTTATCCAAATTTATTCTACAAAACCAACAGACAACAGCCATCTTCACTTATTAGGCACAAGAATGTCTCTCCACCTAGCACCCACGAAGCTCCCAGGCTGCTCAGCCACACATTGTGCACTGGATTTATCATAAAGCTTTCTTGCCATGATGATTGATAGACAACAAAAGCCCAAAGAAAATCTATGGGACTATGCCACCCAAACATAACAAATATGGGGAATCTAACAAATGCAGATGAAACAAGCATTATGCATGATACAGATTAATTTCAACTGCAGAATTTAAGTATCTTAGAAGGAAAAGGAGAAATCATGGAAGACATATTAGGAGGAGGATTTGATGAAATGAAGAGAGGCAGTTCTAATGAAATCATACTTTCGCATGTATTATTACAGTAAATCTCATGTATAAGTATGAGTGCAGAACTTATCATAATTAAGCATTTTGGTCAATCAAACCAGAAGCATGGCATCATCATTATGCTTCCCACGTCAACAAGTTCTGATCATTGAGAAAGGTTCAAAAGTTATCTCATAGAACTTACTGGGAGAAAATGGATAACATACATGATTTTCCTAGTAGGTAATGTAATAAAATTTTGCACTTTCCAGCTAAAGGAAAGAAACCAGTAAAGTATTTTAACTCTTATAATTCTTAATAGTAAAAAGCGAATCTACCTTGTCACCCACACCGGTAAGGACTTTTCCCATCTTCATTCTGCACTGATTTACCCTAGTAGCAATTGAAGTTAGAGAAAAGATCATATAAAATGCACAATATGTAGGTTTAATGCCAAATTAGAAACACTTATTATTATGGTGAAATTTTCAAAATCCTTGCTAACCTTATGTGGATCAGGAGGAAATTGAAGTTCATTTGGTATTTCTGGGAAGTGTGACAGAATGATTAGACCAAAAAAAAAAAAGGAGAGAGAAAAGGAACTAGCTGAATAGACTCTTATTAGTTCTCCCTCATCTTTCCATATCCTTCAATAATTTTATCTTGTATATTAGGGGAAAATTCATCCCATATATTTGAGATACGAATATCACTTTAATATTCCAAGAAAATAGGTAAGTGCACTAGAAGTGTTGAACTGCTTATATTAAAATATCTCTATTAGGGTGATTACAAGGAAACATTTTCTTCTATCTGAAGATTCGGCTTATATCTAGGAAGTCAATCTACTATGGCAATGGGAGTCAGGACAGTGAACTCAGTCAAAACGGAGAGGATGTAATGTGTGTGATGAGATTTACAGCGACTGAGATTGACTTCTAAGTCGCTAACAAATATTAGCAGCCAAATGCTATGCCATATGATACTGAATCTAAAGAATGATAAACTGATTGATTCCATGATAACAAAAGCAAAACTGTGGAAGTAGATTTTTAATGCAAGATTTTCACGGTAAAGAATTTTTATGATTTATATGTAAAGCTAAAGAAGCTGCTTATAAAGACTAGGGGGAAGAGTAACACATTATCCTCAAGCTGAAGTTTCATTAGATGTTCTTCATTTTAGCTCTCAACTTAAAGCTTACAGGTCAAAACTTCTAGCTATGTCTTTGTACCAAGTGAGGACCATTGCAGTCTGAATATTTTTTTTAAAAGGTATGTGATGGTTCGAGTAATTTTTTTTTAATAAGGTGCGTAACTGTTCCAGTCTGATATTTAACACCAAAATATCCCTAATAAGCACTAAATCCATGAGATATTCAAATAGTTGATCATAGTATAAATCATGAATCACCATTATTTAAGTTTGAAATGGAAAAGAAGAAAAACTAATCGAAATGGATATCTTAATGCTTACCCTACTGAATGACCTTTCCACTGAATAACATTAGCAGGGGCCCTTTGTAATGCCAATCTGTGTTGTTCCATAGCCAGCTGCTCCGCTTGTTCACTCAATGATCTCTGAGAGAAAGATGCGTCAATGAGGCCATTAGGATCACTATGCTGCTGCTTGAAGTATTCTGTTTGATGCAACTTCAATTTGTTGACAGCCTTACTCCTTCACAGGACAAAACAAGGGCAAAATAAGCAAGTCAGTCAGTAATTGGCTTAAGCAAATAGCAGAACAAATTAAATGCAACTGTTATCATCAGATAACAAAATTTGACGTCGTACCAAGAAATAGAAACGGCGGAGCAGCGAATGAGCTGGACTAAGTCGAGAAAGGAGAAGATGATGCAGAGAACGTCGTGGCTGAGAGCTTCTGATGTTGTCTTCTTCTTTTTGCTCTTCACGGTTGCCGTGCCCGCCGTGGACGGCTGCCGGAGTTTTGGCGCCGCCGCACTGGGGTCCATTTTCCTAATATCCGGTTGTGTGGGCAGAGACGGAAGAGGTGAGGCTTTTGTATTTTCATTTATTTTCCAAGTAATTTCATTCCCTAGCCTATTTCACAGTACTATTTAAGATGTAGCCATCCTTTAAAACTTTTGTATTCGAAGTCTCCTAAATTTTAAATCGAGTTGACCGGGCGTTATTAGATTTTTTTTGAAAATATTAGTAAGAATGAAGATTCGTAGTTTAAATTTTAAGAATGTTATTTATAGTTTCGAACATATATTTGAAACTTTATAAATTCGTAGGCAAATTTTTATGACTTCAATTACATATACATAAAGTTGATTTCGAAGTGGTTAAGCTCATATATTTGTGAACACCGCAATTTGATTCCAAAATTGGTTATTTGTGCACTTGTCCCCTTTTTAAGTTGATAAGGGTGGTTTATATAAATAATAAAGATCATTTCAAGTTGCTATTTGAACTTTTGATCTCATTTTATTATTGCTAGTTGCCCTGATATTGCTAAACATTTGACGTCGTCTTGGCTATATTAAGCGTGACAATATTCGGAACTTGACATTTGATTGACATTTCTACTAATGCAAGAAGACCTTGTACAATTAATGCTTGAATTGCCACGAATTTCTACTTATTTAAACGTCTGAACCCAGCTTGCCACAACAGGTTCCAAAAGAAAAATCAAAAATAAAAAAAGACAGAGATATGTCAAAAGATACATCAAGTGCTCACATTATGTTGTATTAAACTTTGTCTAAAATGATTGTTAATTACACAAATAAAGGATGTGCTAGACTAATGATCTCCAGGGGGTAATGTGCCAGAAAGGAAGTGAGAAATAAGGGAAAGGGCTCTAGCAGGCTGATAACTTGGAACTTCATGTCCCGCGCCTCTTACTGTTGCAAATGTTAGACCTCCTTTATATGTCTCAACATATCCTCCAACCTGCAACATATAATTATCCAAACAAAATTATTAATTTCATTAAGTTAAAAACATTGGTGAGCAATAGTTGTTTGACGAGCAATTAGTGTTTTTTACCTCTCCTCCATTCAACCAAGAACGCCACGGTTGATCTACTGTAAGGTTCATTGCTTGTATAGATCTCTTTGAAGAAGTTACAGGCACCCTTCCATCTGTATCACCACTGCAAGTACAATTTTTTGTTAGTAACACATTTTGTGATAAGATGATCAGAAAGTAAAAAAAGTACTAGTGTAATAAGGAACAAAATTACCTAAAAATCCACACTCGAACACCATTTTCCAAAGACTCCCTGAGGAGAGGAACTATAGTAACTGGGCTGTCTTTCCAATTGTAAAAGAGTGAATTGCTGAAATGGAAAAGAATTATGAGTGTTGACGACTAATGAAAATTGGAAATTGTACATGTTTGTATTTCTGTATGGGATTAATGTGTTGGAGTGCTAATAACCTGCAAGATTCCCACTCATATTTGATGTTGGTAACATTGGCATGGAGTGCATCTTGAACATCCCGCCTGTTCAAGTAAGCATAAATGTAATCCGCCGAGCAGGGGTCAATCTGCAATGGCTGCATAAACAATTAACTTAATATCACTGTTTCTGCATTATTTTATACATGATAGAATGTAGATATTTGTCACACTTACTGGCGGTATCTTTGGGTATTTCGTGAGATTGCCATTCTTACAAAGGGGAAAATAAATGTTGTAGATGTCAAGATGGTTGATATTGTTGTCTGAAATTGCAATTGCACTATTGCACTTGCTCTCGTTGTAGTTTTGGACGAAACAACTATTCTGGATGTCATGATAAGTTTCATCTGAAATTAATGCATGAGATGCAAAGTATTCATACATTCCTATTATGTCTGTATCATCATTGATCACTGCATTCCCAATCTGCAATTTGTAGTTACAACAATTTAATATTGTCAGTGTAATTTAACATGTTGTAACAGACCGGTTAAATTAGAGATCACTTACAATTATTCCTTTAAGATTGATAAGAGTCTTGTTTGCTAGCTTGTTATGCTTAAGAATTTCATGTGCCAATTGAGGTACATAATGTCCAGCATAACTCTCACCAGAAATGTAAAAATCTCTGTTCTTGTACTCGGGAAATCTCTCGAGCCAATTGAGTAAAAACACAACATTATCATTAGCGGTTCTACTATCTCCAGTTGTGTTGAGATCACTGCTTGTATTTGTATATGAAAATCCTACTCCAGCAGGTGACTCCAAGAACAACACATTGGCAGCTAATTCAATAGGAGAACTAATTAATACAATAATTTCTCAAATAATTACCAAATATTAACTGAAATTTCATACAAAAAGGGAATTATTTTGTTTAATTACCACGGTTCCACGCATAACTATTCCTGTGTAATGTTTTCCCATCACTATTAACTCTAAATGGTCCAAGTTCCTCCATTGCCCCATATGCCATAGAAGAACAACCAGGACCTGCAGAAAGAAAAATATGTTATATCAAAACTATATAGTATGACACAATTAAATATAGAGAAATGTTGTATGTATATACCTCCATTAAGCCAAAGAAGCAACGGCAATGCCTCGGAATTTTCAGCTTCAGTGAAGTAATAATAGAAAGCACGACCAGCAGATTGATTGACAGTAACATAACCACCATATTGTTGAAACTTTACTGGTGGTTGTCCAGGCAATTTATTGATCCAATCTTTTGCTTTTGATCCCTCCTGTGGAAGAATAACTTTGTCTAATTCTACATTTTCATCGCCTGCCGCCTTAAAATAACTCTTGCCATAGGGTGAATTCTTTTGTTTGGCCTTGTAAAATTTGCCAAGAACATCACCTTGCTTTTTTCCAAGGCTTGAAGCAACAAAATTGGACAAAAACAGGATAAAAACAAGGAAGAAGAGAGTAAATTTTCCCATTGTTCTATGGTTTTTACTATTGAAAAGCAGAGTTAGAAAATGGTATTTATCATGTAATTGTATCATTATGATCAAGATTTGATTCTCATGCTATTTTGGAAGAGAAATCGAATTGGAGCGGTTAGTGATATTATGATATAACTTTCTTTAATTATGCATCATGCCAAATATTAGTTATTGATGTCTTTTACTTAATAAAATAAGTATTATTAATTTAAATATAAAAAAAATGGTAATTACTTGTATGAAATTAAGGAATGGTCTAATATGCATAATTTTATACCAAATATAGTTTCAATGTAACATGAGTTATATTTTTTCTTTTTCATAATTATGAAAACTCGAGTTTGTGAAAAACTATTCAAACTTTCTCAATTCTTACGATCTTATCAAATAAGCAAATCACAATTTATAAACAAGGTATCAATAATTAGAATGTCTGAAGATGCACGTAAAGTATTATATATTTTCATGTTTCTTTTACAAATAAATATTTGTGATTACATTTTAGGAAAAAGTGACATATATACACCTGAACTATCGAAAATGATATATGTATATCCTTTGTAATACTATTGAGACACCAGAGTCCTTGTCGTTCAAGAAGTGGAGCTTTTGTATCTTTCACACTAACAGACGGACACGTGTCATCATCATGTGCATCTACTCGATTATTCACTTAATTTGAACCCACAAAGAAAGACCATTCGGATTAAAAAAGACCCGCTCAAATAATTATCTAACTCACTCAGTAACACCCTAATAATATACCAAAATCTAAACACCCCCAAATTCTTCTTCATTTCTCCTATATACCCAAATCTAGGGGTGGGAATTCGATACTTGGTTCGGGTTTCTCAAATTTCGGATTTGGTGATTCGATAATTGGTAGTTAAAAGTAGATACCAAATATCAAAATTTTAAATTTTGGTTTGGTACGGTATTTGGTAATACCATATTGAAGTTATAGTCAATTGTATACATAGTTAATACTATTTCTCAAATCATTTCTAATTTTTTTTTATGTGGAGGCACGATATAATGGAAGATCAACAAGTAAGAAGACATCAAGAAAAGCAAATTGATACAACTAAAAGACATATATCTCGATTATTCATGCTTATTCTTTAACTTTCTCTTAGGACTTGTACTAATGAGTAATGGATATGTTGATATATGACCTTCATTAAGTAAATAATTTGGTATTCGGAAAATACCGAATACCAAATGGTACTAATGTCTCATACCAAATTCAAACCCGAATACCATAATTCTAAAATTTTACTCCCGAATAACATACCAAATACCGAATTATCAAATAACCAAAAAATTTGATTTGATTCAATAATTCAATTTTCGATATTTTATGCCCAGCCCCGCCCCGCCCAAATCAAAACACCCACAACTTGTGAGGATATGAAATAGCTGCATAATTGAAATCTCTTTTCTTCACATAAACATTACAAGAGATAAACTTCCATATATAACCAAGCAGTACAGAAAGTAAAGAGACACTTGAGCCACAAAATTGAGGACTGAGAAACAAATATATATATATATATATAAATCTTTCTTTTTTACTTCTTTTACAGAGAATATAATTTGTAATTAATTTACAATTAACAAAACTATTCTGATGTGCTCTCTAGAAGGTTATACATGCAGCTATGAACATTCAAGGGCTCCCTCTACTACCCCCATCCTCCCCCTTCAACCAAAAATGTAGATAAAAAGAAAAGATTATGTATCCCTACAAAAGACAGCTCTTTTTAATGGATTAGCTTTGTATCAAAATTGTGTTGTAGGTAGATCACCAATTATCCTGCTTGCTATCTTATGGATCAATGTTTTTAAAAGTGGGGTGTGAGACGAGACGTTTAATGTAATACGGAGCGATACGTAAGCATCGAGACACGGGGCATAAGTTTAATGGATCTAGGGGCATAGTCTCATGTATATTTAATTTTATAATTACTAAGAAAATAAGCAAAAGTGAAACTTTCAATTATCGAACAAACAAATTTTAATAAAATAACCTATAATATATATAAAAAGATATTATGATTTTTATTTGAAAAAGGTATTAATAACCAATAATGAAGAAAAAAAGTATTACAATTACTATTTGAGAAAATATGATTTCAAGCACAAAATAAAGGTTCAAAAATAAAAATAATTTAAAAAAATAACGCCCGCCTAGGGCATATACGTCCAGGACTTGCGTTTTTTAGCTTGGAGCTTACACCTCAAATTTTAAAACCTACGCACTATGATATACATCTTTAATTTACGCTCCGGAGCGTTTTTGGCACGCATCGCTTCGTAACTCACCAATTTTAACGTGGAAAACATTTTCGGTGTGAAGAGTAAAAACCACAAAGCCAAAGCTCCACTAAAATCAACAAGAGTTACAAAAGTGTTCTCCAAAATGGCTACCAACAAAGTGCCAAACAATGAGCAACACAACTACAAGATAGCACCAAAAACTAGAGAATTAAAAGAAGCAAAAACACCAAACCTGCAAATACTGTTCACGAGCTAAAATCTGGAGCTACAGGACTCCAAATCACCCTCTCTCAGTTCCCAATCAAATATTAAGTTGAAAAGAACAAGCTATCCAAAAATCAGCTCAATCGGACAAGAAACGAAGCGGGAATCACGATTTGAAATTGGCTAGGGCTTGTGCGAAAATCTGCACTTTCTCACTTTTCTCTCTATATGGCTGCTCTCAAACTCTTGTGATTCTTCTCTAAATAAGACCTAAAAGAAAGGCTTACATATGCACCATAATATTGGGCTTATGGACAAAAGTGAGCTAGTCAAATTTGGGCTAAATTTATCCACAAAGGAAAAGAAGGAAGACCCAAAACCTTGGACTTTTATTTCTCCATATAGAAAGGGAAAAAGACCCAAAACCCAACAAAATAAACAAGAATTTGGGTATATTATCAGGGTGTAGTGAGCGGGTGAGTTAGATAATTGTTTGACGGGATTTTTTAATCCAGGTGATCTTTTTTTGGATTAAAATTAAGTGAGTAATCAAATGGATGCACAAAATAATAACACGTGTCCGTCCGTTAATGTGAAGGATATAAGTGTTGACACCCAATTTTGACCCTCCACAATATAAATTAATCATTTCGAGCTTCTCCAATTTTAAACGATTTAAAATAATTAGTTTTATAAAATTCAAAAAATATAATAATATAGTTTGCAAGTTATTCTAAATAGTTTGTCATTTTTATAATTTTTAGATAATATATATGCTCTATATAATTATATATAATTAGTGTATTTTATAAATATTCAAAAAATCATCTCAAAAAGATTTTATTTTTTATTGAATTAGTTGTTTAAAATTATGGTTATAATTTTTAATTATCTGGTTTATAGTTAAATTAATTATTTTATTTTGTTAAGATTAAGAAGCTCGTAAATTAATTGTATTAATTCTTAACTAAGTTTGGCTATGTTTTTAAAATTCCAATTGACTATAATTTAAATTCATAGGGTCAAATCTTAATTTGATTCCCAACCAATTTTGTTTTATCCTTAACTCCATTTAAGAGACCAAGTTTTGGGCCCATTTTTTTCAGCAGCCCACAACATTCCCAGCAGCCCAACAATAAAATCCATATACATTCCCAAACTCATTCAGCCCACAACACAAAAGAAACCCATCCAACATAACAATACAATACAGCATACCATACGACCCCTGTACTCTTCGTTCTTCTTCCCTTTTCACGCAGAAACCGACCCCACTTCCCATACTCGTCTTCTTCCTCCAGACGCAACCCAGAAAAATCTCAGCAAATCCGAAAATCCCATCCAACTACTCTGCGAACCCATACCCTAGCAGTCCCTAATCGATCATTTCGTCGTCCCCTTTTCGCGGAAGTCACTATTTTCCCCATCCCTTCCACTGTTGCCTCGAAAAGGAACGGGTAGATTCAAAATTCAAACGAATTTTACCCCCTTAAACCTGCCTCGATCTTCCCTATAAATAGCCATTTACATTCAAGGAGAAAGGAGAGAGTTTTGAGTTTGAGCTTTCGGTAAATAGTCGTTTTACACTTTAGAATTTCACATTTAGTCCTTTATTCTAAATTCCGAAAGGAAGTCGCTACTCTCCAACTCGTTAGCTCCCGTTCGCTGCTCACATAAAGGTAATTTTTTTAATTATTTTTTTTATCTCTCCTATTCCAACACGATATATACGCGATTAGAAATCATATGCTTGTGTTTGGTCGCTAATTAAGTTTTGTGTCTCTAGAATCTTGTTTTTTTTTTTTCTAATGTTGTTGGTTGTTTATTCCTTTGATAGTCTTCCTAACTAGTTAGCATGTGACGAGTTTGATTCGGTTGAAATGATAAAATGAGTCAATAAGATGTACATTCTTATGTTACTGAAATATTTGTTTTGGCATTGATTTCCCTTGTCAAAATTTAGGCTATTCTTACAAAGCTCTGTTTGTATGTTGCTTTCGTCCTCATTTAGAGTCATGCTAAGCTAAATTTTCCTATCCATGTCTAAATTGGTTTGGCTGTCTCTTTCTCCTTTTCTCCTATTGGCTTGGAGTCTGTTATATCGTCATTTAGCTTGCCATGCTTGAATTCGTTACGCTCATTTAGAACCATGTCTCTTTTTTTTCTCGTCTTGAATTCGTTTGTTCTTGATATATTCTGATTTGGATCCTATCATTTATGAAGTAATTAGTTGACTTCAAGTTGAGCAGAATAGCCACCTAATTACTTAAGTATTCATTGCTTGCTCTTTGTTATGTCGGATTAATTTGAGTAGTGAATTTCTCATTTATAAAGCATACTTATTTTTGTGTATATTGGGACTTCCGTAAATGCCTCATGGTTGTTATTTGGGTAATAGCCAATACGGCACTTTTTTTTTCAAATGTATTCACAGTGTCTATCTATTCGGAGATTAATTGGAGAATAATCCCCAAGATTTTTTTTAATTTTTTTTCCTCTCTTTGACATCTCTTGTTGTTTTATCTAACTCCCTAAGAGGCTTGTAATTATTGGCATTGATGAAATTGTCACCCCCTAAGGTTTGTGATTAACAATTTGCTTCCTTTCCTCTTCTTCATTGTTTGTTAGGAATTGTCATTTAGAAGTTAAGTTTAGTTAATATCGGTGGCTAGTTGTTACTACCTAATAATCTTCGGTTCTTAAATGTGTTTAGTGTTTCTTTATGCCCAAATTATTGGTTTCTAGTCTTGATAAGTGTTAAATAAGATTTATTTGTGTCATCATTTTGATATTTTGGAGTCTGGACAGTAGCACAAAGATGTGCATCTTTATTTTCCTATTTTTAATTAATGTGAGTTGTTGCTTATAAGTTGCTTATTTTTGTTGCATGTGAATCCTTTCCGAGTTCATGATAGACTTCTCTTCCTAGCATCCTCGAGTTGAGCCACAAAGGCTCAATTTATTTATTTTTCTTCATAATCCGGGTCAGCCGGGCAAAGAAAACTGAAGCACAAGGCTGGAAAACAGAAAACATGGATGTTTAGAGCCAAACAATGAGTCGTATACATGTTGTATACACTGATATACAGGTCAAAAACGCAGGAATACAGGGCTGATGCGGAATATATATGTTTGGAAGCAAGAAATATCTGAAAAAGAGCTAATATATGCGGTCATATACACTGATATACATCCACTGTATACCAAAACCGGGATTGGGTTAAAACCCAAAAAATTCCAACGAATTTGGCCCAAAAGGAGGCCCAAATTCATTTTCTCCCTTACTCTTTAATTATATAATTGTGATTATTTATTATTCATTGTTTAACTCTAACTTTATAATCGCAAATCAACTTAGTCGAATTCCCCAAAAGACGAACTATCTCTTTGTGTCTTTTTGTTTCTAACAAAAATCTTATTTTTATCAATTTTTGTATTTTCATTTAAAATCTTTAGTCATTTGTTTTATTTAGTTTAAAATAGTTTTTTTTCATAAATCAAAAAATGACTCAAATAGAAACCAATTAATTTAGTTTCTTTAAAATTCTAATTACTTGTCTCTAATTCAAATGTTTCAATTAAGGTCCAATTTTCTTAATAAAAAAGCGCTCTTTGTTTAACTATTTTCTCAAAGTTAATCTAATAGTGTAAATGAATAAATAAATAAATACTTACTTAGTTATTTTTTATTTTAAAATGAATTAAATAAATTCTAATTAGTCTAGTTTTTATTTTATTTTCTAATCACTTGCACCTTAATTCAAATATTTTCCTTTTAGGTCTCTTCCTCTAAAAAGATAGAATAAAATGGTTCATTCCTTAGTTATATTTTCAAACTTAATCGAATAGTGTAAATTATTATATATTTTTATGTTAAATTATTTTTTCTAAAAATAGTCATATATATCTTTAGTCAAGTCGCAGGTCAACCGCATGTTAGCGGACACTTCGAATGCTTAAACCCTTCTCGAAGTGTAAATTGAACCCCGAACCCTCTTTGGTATTTTCAAATGATTTTTTTTCTGTTTAAATCTTTGAAAATTGTAAGTTTTCTTAGTTTCTTCAAAAAATTAAGTGGCGACTCTTTTCTAAGTATTTTCCTTTTAGTGTTTTATACTTAGAACATTTCAAAAATGTGATTTTTCTAAAGATAGGAAAATTACGGCACAACAGAAAGTATTTCACATTTTGGACGGTAAGAACTCTGATGTCTCGATAGTATAACAAAGGATATACGTATACTATTTTCAATAATTCAGAGATATGTCTATCTGTTTTTCCTATATTTTGTTACAAAATACTCTAGATGTATGGCTTTAGTCCATGCCTCTTTGTTTTCATGTATGTTAGACCAGTGGTTTTTATGTTAGATACCATTATCTAATTTTATCATTATTTTGTATCATGAAGCTCTTGATAGTTATTTTTTTTTATACGAAAAGGGTCAAATATTTTTATCAAATTTTGAGAAAAAAATGTTCACTTATGATTTCTGTTAAAAGTTTTGTTCATCCATGTCATTTTCGTTTGAGAAAAAGTTCACCCATGCCATTATTTGTTAACTGAAATGACATAGATGAGCCAAACTTTTAATGTATGATATAGATGAACCTTTTCACAAAGTTCGATAGTATATTTGAGCCTTTTTATTTTTAAAAAAAGTGATTTAATCAATGACATGACTGAATCGTAATTGACCATGAGTAAAAAAATATTTTGCGAAACCAAAACTTTTTTCAATTAATTAATAATGGCACGAATGAGCTTTTTTTCCAAACGAAAATGACATAGATAAGTCAAACTTTAAGCAGATGACATAAATGAGCTTTTTTCAAAATTCAATCATTTGAGTCTATTTCCTTTTCTTAATTTTATTAAACTAAATTGACTCAAATTGTAGGGATTTCAGATAACAACAAAAACAAATACAATTGAACTTGAAAATGTAAATTTTGATTTTTGTCAACTTGTTTAGT